TGCATATTGTAAAATTGTACATATCATTGCCTTATCTATCATATATTCAACTAATAAACTTGTGGATGTTTATTCAAAAGCTGCCAAGGAGTCCAAATCATTTTGTTGTCTTCTTAGATAATCTGCAAAAAGTTCCCATTCTTCCTTGAAGTCACGATTGTCCTTGTCACGCAGTTTATATGTCAACTTGGCCAATTCTGCATAGCTCATCAGTTTTTCTTTCGTTGGGATTTCCTCATTCTCAGGAAGAGAGATATACTTTCGATTATGGAAGTCCTTTCGATTCCTCTTGCCAAAGCAGAAATGTTCATTGCTATTGTTTTCTCTCTGCTACTGCCCTATGCAGTGACAACACAGAGCCATTCCTGGAAACAGTGGACCACATCCAGTGCTAGTCCTACTCAGAGCAGAACCCCTGAAATTCATGGGAATTGCAAACTTAAGTTCATTAATTTCAATGGCTCTACACTGATTAGGACTAGCACTGGACACAAGCCAGAGCCCTCCGTTCTTACGCTCAAATACCACGGCACCTTCTGAAAGCACCACCTGAGACGCCCAGGTCTTACCTCTGAAAAGAAGGCAGTTCCTGTCAGCCGAAGCTTTTCGGACTCTGAAGTCATCCAGGGGAGGGCGTTCTCAATGATCTTGTGGTCCAAAAGTCTATTCTGAAACAGATGTCTATAAGAGAAAAAGGAACATTACAGCTGTGCGGGCGAGTGAGGGAGTCTGAATTGGGGTCATTCAAAATACGCGGTGCCCTACTTCAGAGCAGCTTCATTCCAATACGATATGATACGATAATCTTTATTGTCATTATCCCATACATACAGAACAAAGAAATTGAAAATCTACATCAGACATTCAGAAACCAACAAGCCTGCTATCCCAGCTATCCCAGCCTGGTTAGCCCCCTAAAAACTCACATACCCCATAATTAAATACAATATACTCCCATAGAGATGATCTTAAAAGGTAAAGGAACCCCTGGCCTTAGGTCCAGTCGCGGACGACTCTGGGGTTGCGGCACTCATCTTGCTTTATTGGCCAAGAGAGCCGGCGTACAGCTTCCAGGTCATGTCGCCAGCATGACTAAGCCGCTTCTGGCGAACCAGAGCAGCACACGGAAACACTGTTTTGAGTGTTATGCTGAGGTCTGACTGTTTTTGCTATTTATTTTGTGTTTTTGTTTTCGCGGCACTTTTTTATGTTACTGTGTGGAACCCAGTTCAGCTACTGATTGACTGACTGATTGATTGATTGATTGATTGTGTGACTGCAGTACATTGTTTATTGCTTTCATTTTATGGATCAATGCTCTCGTTAGATAGTAAAATTCACGTTAAATTGCTGTTTTAGGGGTTGTTTTTAAAAGTCTGCATTACTTTCGATGGTAAAGCGCACCTTGGTTTTGGAACGCTTTGGTTTTGGAACGGACTTCCGGAATGGATTAAGTTTGGGAACCAAGGTACCACTGTATTACTAATAAATTATTGCTGTTATTATTGTTATTGCCATAATCATCCCCATAACTGGCATTGCCTGGGAATTCTAAGAACCCAAATAACCAGTGCAGTTTGAAATCAGTGGTTAAAATCAGTGCAACTTTAAAACCATCAGTCTACGGATTCCAATTATTTCCAAACAGACTTCTTGAACTTGGGGAGGATTGTGCAACATTTGGTTAAAATCAGTGTGTAGCCTTATTGGAGTTCACCGACTGGGTCTGCGTTGCTCCGGGACAGGAGGAAGGAAGTCAAATGACACCGAAGTTGGTTCAAAGAAAGAGTTTATTCTGCTCTCCGGATAGCAGAAGGCACTTGCTTGGTCAGTCCATAGCAAGTCCAAAGAAATGAGAAGTTTCATGCAGTATATATATGCAGTATATATACCTTCCAGTATATATATCCTCCCTCCTTCCCCAGGAATCCAACCACGTCAGACTAGGTACACAGGTTGACTTCACATATGTTCTTGCTTTAGCATTCTTAACCATAAAAGGGAATTCCTTCCTGTACTTCTGACCATAAAAGGATCTTCCTCTTCCTACTCTTATCTTGAAGGAAGAGGTCATCCTCTCCGAGAACATGCTCTGGCGTTGTTCCCAGACTTAGGTCTGTGCGTCTTTTATGGTCAGCACATAAGATAAGGCACGGACGTGTCTTCTCTGTTCTACTGGTGCAGTCAGGGTCTTCCCTGCCGTCACAAACTGATAAAGGAGAGGTCTCTGAGCACAGCCGGGTTTTTGTTTATACATTGACTCAGAGCTCAAGTTAATGGATTTTAGCTAAGGAAAAATAGGGATTTTGGTGCAGTTTCAAACTGCCTGCACAGTCAGTTTTGGGTTTGGGAAACCCATTCCTTCAAGTGTCATTCCAAAAGGTTAAGTCCACGATCTTGATTGTTTGGGTGGGGGGAGGCTCGTTTAATTTCATTGTACACAGGTTGCACAATGACAATAAAGGTATTATTATTGCCGTTGTTATTGATTCTAAATCGCGGGCCATTGTCCAAAAATCTGCACCTTGATCTCAGGAAGCATCCTGCATAATTTGATTGCAATCTCTTAGAAGGTGACCAAATGCATAGCCAACAGGCAAACGATTTCCCCAAATAGATAGCAGATAGCCTGAAATGTTTCATTGATGGTCTGTGGAACTCTGTATAGGAAAGCAAAGGAATGTGGCAGTTCCTCAGCTCCATAGTCCACTGCTCCTGAATATAAGAGGAAGTGTGGCAAACATCAAATGAAGGACTTAGTTCACTAAGAAATCCCAAGTCCCTCACCTGTTAGGGACGCGGGTGGCGCTGTGGGTTAAACCACAGAGCCTAGGACTTGCCGATCAGAAGGTCAGCGGTTCGAATCCCCGCGACGGGGTGAGCTCCCGTTGCTCGGTCCCTGCTCCTGCCAACCTAGCAGTTTGAAAGCACGTCAAAGTGCAAGTAGATAAATAGGTACCGCTCCAGCGGGAAGGTAAACGGTGTTTCCATGCGCTGCTCTGGTTCACCAGAGGCGGCTTAGTCATGCTGGCCACATGACCTGGAAGCTGTACGCCAGGTCCCTCAGCCAGTAAAGCGAGATGAGCGCTACAACACCAGAGTCGGTCACGACTGGACCTAATTGTCAGGGGTCCCTTTACCTTTACCCTCACCTGGCCAGCAGAGAAGCCCCCTCCTGGTGGGTTCTAGGATCACCAAGTGAAGTCCAGATGTTCACCTCTCCAAACTCTGCCAGTGATGGATCAGTGGTAAGCTTCAACACGAGAGCCTTCAGACTTGCCACAGAAAGTCTGTGGAGCAAAAGGGCACAGAAAGGGTATCTGAATCGGAAGAAGGTCAAAGTCGGATACTTGAAGCAGAACAGACCAATACAAACTGAAAATGGTCTGCCACTCTGGTCCTAAAAGCACTGAGCCAGCAGCTGCGGGTGACCTGGCTGGGCATATTTCAAGGGGTTAGGATTAACGTTCAAAGCCATAAATGACGAGATCCAACTACCTAAACCTGCCTTTCCCAATATCAACCATTTCGGGCACGGGCGGCCTTTTTGATTGTGCCACCCTCTGCAACAGGGTATTCTTGGTGGTGGCTCCCCATCTGTGGAACCCTCTTCCTGGTGAGATGTGTCTGCCTCTCATTATTAACATTCAGGAGCTATTAAAAAACAACAACAACACACAATTCTATTCATTTGGGAGGTTTGATGGCCAAAAGCTATAGCTCCTGGCAACCTGGAAATTAATAGCTGTGAGGGCTATGGGACTGTTTTTAAATGTTTGTTGATGTACTTGATGTTTTAACTTTTTCTTGATGTACTAAATGTCTTTATTTTATTTTATAGCATTTTGCTTTCCTAGCTTTTTGCTGTCTTGGGCTCCCATTGGGAAGAAGGGCAGGATAGAAATCACACAAATTAAAAATAAAAATAAAAAAGACTGTTTTGCATGGAAAGAAGTCATAAAGATGGAACTCTGCATGTGCAGCTGTCTAAGAGGAAGCCCAAGGTTTGCACATCTGTATGCTATGTTCATGGGGTTGTTAGTTCAGTTCCTGCAGGCTGACAAGAGAGGCCTCTGTATATGCAAATTTACTTGTTCAGAAGGGCTGCTGTCACAGGAAACCATAGATCTGTAGAGCTGGAATGGACCCCAGGGGTCATCTAGTCCAACCCCCTGCAATGCAGGAGTCTCAACTAAAAAACCCCTGACAAATGGCCACCCAATCCCCGCCTTACAAGCCTCCAAGGAAGGAGCGTCCACAACATTCCAAGGGAGTCCATTCCTCTCTTAAGCAGACCTTGCTGTCAGAAAGTTATTCCTAACGTTTAGTCGGAATCTTCTTGCTTGTAGCTTGAATCCATCAGTTTGGGTCCTACCTTCCACAGCGAGAGAAAGCAATCTTGCCCCACCTTCTGTGCTGGGCTCAGGGGTAACCCGTGAAATGCGGTCCAGGACTGGTCCAGAATCTGAGGGTTCCACTAGGAGTCAGTCCCACAGGGCCAAGGCTGGACATGAGGCAGGAAACCAGGCAAGGACAGGTACAGGATCTCAGGCAGGATCTGGCATACAGCAATGTTGCTCCCACAACCTGGGACAGGGTCCGTCAGCCTTCTATCTTTGTTGGGGTAGCGGCCGATCCTGATCCCCCGGCGACTCACCTCCCTGTTTTGCCCAAAGGTGAGCCCTCCTCCTGCGAGTACTCAGGTCTCTCCTCTCAGACCTTAGTCTCTGCAGCTCGGGAGACGTCGGTGGGTTACTAGACCCAGCCTCCCCTGACCCAACCGGTAGTGGAGCAGCTGTAAGTGATGGCCCAGCTGAAGGCAACGAGGTCATCCCCACATCTGGAGCCAGGGCAGGCTCAGGCCCCTGACTCGGCCCAGCTGGTGTTTGTTGCAGGGGAACCTGTGCAGACTGGGGCTCTTCAGGATCAGGCCCCAGACTTGGTTCAGGTGATGCCTGAGGCAAAGGATTCGGTGCAGACTGAGTCTTCTCTGGTTCTGAGTCCGAGCCCCAGTCCCAGGCCATCACACCTCCTATGTGACACAGCCGTTCAGTTATTTGAAGACAGGTATCGTATCACCTTTCAGTCTCCTCTTCTCCGGGCTTAACATACCCAATTGCCTCAACTGTTCCTCATAAGGCTTCCCCCTCATGCTTATTTCCATGCTTATTACATACAAAAAAAACAACAACAACAACCAAAAAAACCAAAAACCAATACCGAAAAGGGGTACAACTTAACAGCGGAGGGGAAAGGAAAGAAAATAAAATTTACACCATCTGTTAATAAGATAAAAATTATGACATAAATTTGTGATTGCAATTTCATGTTACAATAAAAAAAAATCATTATCTTTTATACCTCCCATTTATTCCTTAATTCTTTTTACATCAATTTACTGCCGTATCAAAACACTATTTTTTATATAAATTTATATAAATTTTCACAATTTATAAATGTTTATATTTATCTAACCAATTAATAAAAACTGCTGGGAT